CTGTCAGGTGTGTGGATGGCGTTCTGCGCGTTTTCCACCAAGCTGCCTGCCCACCAGCAGGTAAGAGTTCGAGGTGTTCCGCGTCCTCACCAGCCCTGGGTATCTGTCTTTTCAGTGCAGCCACCGTGAAAGGTGAACACGCCGGGGCTTTATTTCCACTTCCCAGGTGACTCCTGAAGTGGAGCACCTTTCCATGGGCCTTACTGGCCATTTGTGATATAATCATTCAGGTCTTTTGTTCACTTTTTTGTTAGTTGGTCTGCTTTTTTTCTTACTGATTTTTAAAAAAATATCTTTTATTGACTTTTAGAAGAGAGGAAAGGAGAGGAATAGAGACATAGGAACATCAATGAGAGAGAAACATCAATCAGCTGTCTCCTACACGCCCCTGCTGGGGATCAAGCCCGAAACCTGGGCATGTGCCCCCACGGGGAATCGAACCACTGACATCTTGGCTCCTGGGTTGATGCTGAGCCACTGAGCCACACTGGCTGTGCTTTCTTACTGATTTTTAAGTTCTTTTACCTTGAGGAGGATTCCAGTAAGAGGAAGAATTTAAGTCTGCTTATTGCTCCTCTAGTTTGCCTCAGGGAATTGTGAGAAATGCTGTCACCGTTTCTTTGTTTTCCCTCCCTTTCTGTTTTCCTCTTTTGTCCTTGCAGCTTCAAGATCTGGGGTGTGCTTTCTCTCGAGCTTATGGGCTTCCATGTAACCGCCTTGCTCTGTGTACTCCTCCGCTCCTCCCCTTGGTACAGGTCTGCTTATTCCAGCCATGGACCCTGGCCCTCCGAGTCTGGGATACCACTGACTTGTCCTGTCACGTTCATGGTATTACCCTGTCTCTAATTTGCATTTAAAATTTAAATCCATTTAGTTTTGTGAGCCATTTCTTACCTTATAACTCTGCTTGAAAAATATCTTTTGGTCTTCAAAGCCTTTTCTCTGTGAAGGCTTGATTTGGGGGATAGTTCTAGCTTTTTGCACCATCTTGGTTTCTAGGAGTTACAGTATTGGCTGCAGTCCAAACAAAGGGACACTCTTATTATTTAGAGTGCCTCCTCTGAATCCTGCCTTCTTTTTGCTTTGGTGAACGTTTTGAGTAGCCAGGAGAGGATCACCTGAAGGTCTCCTCCAGCTCCTGCTTCTCTCCTGGGTCCTGTCCTGGCCGCTCTGTCTGCAAATCAAGGGACTGAGTTAGGAAGCCCTGCCCAAGACCTTCTCTTAGAGAGACTCCCACTGTCATCCCAAGGAAACCTTCCCAGCCTTACCTGTCTCACCCTCGTCCAGGGTGTCAGGGTGTGCAGGACTGCCCACTAGTGCCTGGGGGGCTTCCCTGGGTTGGAAGGCTATTGGGAATTTGCAGGTGAGGAGAAGCTTCCAAGGAGATGGGATCATGCCCAGCCCTTGGGCGGCTGAGAAGCATGGATTCTGTCTCAGGTGGCAGACTGGGGACCGGAGAGAGGCAGAGACTGATTTTATTAGGTGGATGAGAGTCTTCTCTGACAATTCTCATGATCTGGGAGGTGGACTCCTGCACCAGAACGGGGATGTCTGCAGGAAAGAGCCTGAAGTAGCACTGAGAGTGACTATGGGGGGCACATACATGTGAGGCTGTTCCCAGCACTTCCCAGGTCCCTGCCCTGAACCTCACAGCAGCCTGCGATGGGCCTCACCACTGGTAGCCCTAGTTTTCAGATGAGCAGCTGGAGGCACAGGGAGGGGAGGCAGCTGCTCCAGGTTGCGTGGCTAATCAGGGCTGCGGACCCAGGGCATGTCCTGAACCCTGTGTATGGGGCCCTGCGCTTGGTTTTGTCCGCATTTGGTTCCATTCAGTCTCTAACAGCCCTGTCAGGTAGCCTTATCATCCCTTTGAGGGATGATAGACGGACTGCCCACATTTCCCAGTCAGTCAGTGGCAGATCCAAGGCTTCTAGCAGGCACAAGTGTTTCTTAAAATAGCTGAAAACCAGATTCTTAGACCTGTATCTGTTGGTCAGTGTTTATTCCCTGTAAATAACCACATGGATTGAGGAAATGACATCATGCATCATTTGTTCCATTAACTCACCATCTTTAAACATAACAGTTCTGTCTGTAACTTGCTGCCCAGTGGTGCCTGGTGCCCACGAAGCTATTCCAGTAACCCCCTCCTTCCTCCAGCATGTGGAAGATGGGGGGCCCAAAGCTCCACCTGCTCAGGCAATGGGGCTGAGTTCTGGAGTAACGCGTATACTTCCCCTTGTGCCGATTGTCATGGGAATCGTGGAAACAAGACCCAAAATAGAACAGGACATGAAAAATCTCATTGTTCCTATTGGTAAATCCCTTACTGCATAACTCCTAATGCATTCCCCGAGGTAGGCAAAATAAAATGTATTATCTTTTTGAAACTGTATTTATTATGCTGATAAAAATGTTCAAGTATTAAAACTCACCCTGGAGTGAATGAGAAGAATTGTTTGCTGAGATTTTATAGTTACTGAAGAAAAGTCCTTAAGCACCGACCCAAGGCCCTTGTCCGTCGCCCAGCTCTCCCCTGGCCTTTTTGGACCACCCTCCAAAGCACCCGTCAGCCCCATTCACACCACCCACTGTCCTCATGGCGCGTGTCAGTGTCTGAAGTGTCCTGTTTGCCTGTCTCCCCAGGGTGAGTTCTGTGTGAGCAGGAGCCTTGGACTGTCATGGTCTTTGGGACACTCAGCAGGCGGATGAGTGTTCAGTGCTGGGATGTGGGCTGTTTGCGGTGCTCTCGAAGCATCAGAGACACTGGCTCCCGCCTCCCACCTCACTTTGGAGGGCTCTCACTTCTGCGGTCTTCTGTTTTTGCCTCTCAGTCTCCCTCGCCTTCCACTAGCTTTGCCTCTTCCTGCATCCAGCCGGCCCCTGCGTTCGGTTATCCCAGTTACCCTGGTTACCTGAGCGAGGGCACAGCACCGTGCACTTGCCACCCAGTTCTCATTCCCCCTCTGTGATAAACTTTGTAGGTAGTTCATGGGAATCTCAGCGGAGACAAGATACAAAACACTGGGTTTGTTGTTGTTTTTTGTTAACCCTCACCTGGGGATATTTTTCCCATTGACTTTTTTCTTTTTCTTTTTTTTTTGAGCGAGTGGAGGGAGGAAGGGAGGGAGGGAGGGAGGGAGAGAGGGAGGAGAGAGAGAGAGAGAAAGAGAGGGAGGGAGGGAGGAGAGAGATCATCGATTGCCTCCCACACACACCCCAACCAGGGTCAGGGGAATGAACCTGCAACCCAGGTATGTACCCTTCACTGGGAATCGAACCCATGACCCTTCCATGTGTAGGCCAGCACTCTACCATTGAGGCACACCAGCCTGGGTTACAAAACACTATCTTTATATTTCCTGAGCCAGAAACATGGTTACCTTATTTAAATTGGGTGTTTCTAATGTAAATTAAAGCTGGAAGATGGGCACCAATCCAGAAGTTAAATAACATTCTTTATTGGTGAATCCCTGGGGGAGCTGCTGTTTTCCTAACACTGCAGGTGGGAGTGCAGAATGGCACAGCTCCTCTGGAGGGAAATTGGAGGGGAATTTGGCGACAGCCAGCCAAATCGCACATGCATTCACTCTGTCAGGATCGCTCAAGGAATTTACCCCCCAATACAGGGGTAAGTAGGAAAAGATCTGTGTGAAGGCTGTATGTTGCGGCGCCATTTGACACACCGAAGGCTTTTCAACAATATCCATCAGTAGGGAGTGGGTTGAACAGACTCACTGCAGCTACAGAAAGAAAAGGGCGATGCAGTGTGTTGCTGAGGAGGCATGGGCGGGACATGCACGCGCGCGTGCACATATATATATGCATGTGTGCGCACGCAGACACACACTCAGAGGGAAAGGCAGAGGTGGAGAAGCGTGCCTGTGGTGTGCTATTGTTTTAATAGGGATTGTGAGTATATACATGTATTAGCAAATACCTTAAACATGAAGGATAAACCCTAGTTTTGTTTTTTTTAGGGCTACCTTTGGGGTAGGGAGGGAACCAGGATGGAGGGGACAGACACAAAGCTAGACTTTTGAATGTACTTTATTTTGTAGATTTGACTTTGGAACCATGTAGATATTTTATGTCATTATAAAACAAAATTAAGCAAAAGGCTATGACTTTAAAAAGTTTTGATAGGCATGGTCAGTTCTTCTCTATAAAATTTATATCCTGTTTTCCTCCTGTCGGTACGTGAGGACCCTTTTCCCCCATACCTTTGCCAACACTGGGTTAGCATCTTGTGAAGCTTTGCCAGTTTTTTAGGTGAAAAACAATTTATTTTCATTTGCGTTCCCTGATGACTAGAGTGGTTAAACATCTTTTTATTTGTTATCCAGTTCATTTTTTCTGTGAAATGTAGGTTTATAGCCTTTTTCTATAAGAGAGACTTCTTCTGTTGATGTGTAAAAACTTTTTATATATTGTGGGCATACTTTTTAGTTGCTGATTATTACCAGGTCCACGGCTTCATTTCCAGTTAAGTTGCTCAGGCCCTGCACACAGTAGCTGGTTGTTACTCCGTTGTCATGTATTAAAAGGTCTTAACGGTCTTGCGCGAGAACCCTTATGTGTGGTAAGTGTGAAGTGCCCGCCATGCTCCTAGAGTAACTGGGACCAGACTCTCCCTGGACCGAGTCAGGGCACGACACCAGCCTGTGAGCACTTTGGAGCAATAATTGCTGTTCTCTATTCTTTTATAAATTTTTTCCTATGGCTTATTACTCTGTCTGAGGAGTAAGTAGTTCATAAATGTCCACTTAAGTTGACTTTTGGTGAATGTATAAACTAAATTTGATTGTCTTTTTGGTTTGAGATTGTTTTTGATTTTTAGTGACTTGTGATAACCATTTTTATATTCTGTTCAGTTGAATATCTGAATCAAAGTTATTTTTCAATAAAATATATATGGTGAAAGTAGGTTTTTAAGCTGTTTTATAATTGTTAGCATGTGTCCTTTATTCATGACTTGTTGAATACGCTCCTCTCTCTAGGTCATCACTCCATGTAGGAAACTCATCCTATGTGCTGACAACAGGAAAGAGATGGAGGATTGGATCGCAGCGCTGAAGACCGTCCAGAACAGGGAGCACTTTGAGGTAGAGAGAAAAACAGTCTTCTCATTGCCCTTCCCTGAATGTTCTGCTCTCTGAGCTTCTCTCATGTGAGGGTCGTACAGTTTTGGACTCACGTTCTCAGCGTGGTCCCTGTAAATTATGGTTGCCCTATTGTACTGTGACCCTGTCCTTTATAAGCCTCCCTCCCCTCCTCCCTGGATACTGTACAGAGTCCGGTTTAAGTCACCACATCTGAGGACGCCAGAGGGTCACCTTCTGTCTTCCACCTTTATTCCTTCTTCCAGCCAACCCAGTATAGCATGGATCACTTCTCAGGGATGCACAACTGGTACGCCTGCTCCCACGCGAGGCCCACCTACTGCAACGTGTGCCGTGAGGCTCTGTCTGGGGTCACGTCCCACGGACTGTCCTGTGAAGGTGCGGATGTGTGTTACTCTGCTAGGAAAGGTGACCTAACCCTAGAGTTCCAAGCGTGCTCACCCCACGTTGTCAGGAGTGAAGGGATTGCTGTGACCCACACTTATTTATTGTACCGCCGAAGAGTGTTTTAAGTTCTTTTCTGTAATAACGGAGCAAGGGAGAGAAAGGAGGTGGTAGTAAGGAGACCCAGAGAGGAAAGTAGAAGACACAGAGGGAAAGGGCTGAAACTGTCAGCCCCAGTGTAGCTGCACCCCCTCGGGATGAGTTGGGTTGTGGGTAAATGGGTTGAAAGTTGTCTTCCAGATCTAGAGGGCAGGGTTCAGTGTTTGGGCAGGAGCCAGAAAGGCAAATTGTTGCCCTCGGGCCAGATCCTACCTGTCACTTGTTTTTATGCGGACTATGAAGTTAAGAAGGTTTTACATTTTTAAGTGGTTGAAAAAAATCAAAAGGAGACAACTGTTTTGTTACACAGAAAGTCACATAAAATTGACATTTCAGTGTCCATATGTGGAGCGTGGTTCATGGTGGCCCTTGGCTGCAGGGGCAGCCGAGCAGTTGGGACAGAGCTTGAGCATGGCTCAGGGACACTGAGCTGGCGCCTCCCTGGCCCTGTCCAGAAGGCCTGCCACCTCCTGGCTGCACTTGGTGTCTAGTCTCACCAGGATCAGTCCCTGTGTGTGTCCCAGGAGTTAGTGGAGTGCTGTGTGTGTGTCCCAACTGTCCCAGGAGGCCCAGGCAGTTCCACCGGGCCACCTCCTCAAGCATGGGGAGCAGCTGCCACAAGCAAGGCCTGAGGGTTCATGTGTTCACTCCCTCACAGTGTGCAAGTTCAAGGCCCACAAGCGGTGTGCTGTGCGTGCAACCAGTAACTGCAAGTGGACCACGCTGGCCTCCGTCGGGAAGGACATCATAGAGGACGAAGACGGGGTATGCACAGGCCCAGCCCCCAAGGCCC